CAGCAGGACAGCAACATCCATAATATATGTCACTGCAAATGTCTGTGACACATCAGTATTAGAGATCGAGTCACTCCTTGTCTTTGGCTGTCTTACGAACATTCTGTTAATTATTAGTTCATCCTTGTGAGAAGGTGGATTACTCTCTGGATGTTTATCTTAGAACTTTCTGATATACTCTAAAGTTATAGATCAAAATCATATCTTCACCTAGTCAAGCACGTTTATTTTAGGATTCCTTGGGGAGGCTTATACAGTAGGTTTGTTCTTGTTAGCATATTCATAGAAAGATGCTTGTGCTTCTTTTTAAAAAAACTTATTAATTTGGGGCCAGCGGGTGGCGTGGTGGTTAAGGTGCTGGACATTCCCACATGACTGACCATGGTTCAAGTCCTGGGCCTGGTGGCTTGCTTTCTCACTTTCTCTTTCTCTGTGTCTCTCTCTGGTCAAATTAAAATAAATGAATGAATAAATTAAAAAAAAACCCAAAAAAACCTTACTAATTTAATTTATTATTATTTTTAAAATTTGCTATAGGTCACATGCTCTGATGAGACAGAGAGAGAGAAAGAGAGAGAGAGAGAGAGAGAGAGCGAGCAAGAAAGCAGCTGCCAGGTCTGAGACTTGAACCACAGTCAGCCATGTGGGAGTCCAGCACCTTAATCACCACGTCACCTGCCAGCCCTGATGCTTATGTTTCTGTCTAGAAAATGTTATACTTGCTCTGTAGAGAAAAGCACTGAGAAGAAAATCATTGTAGTCTTATTGCTTGGAGAGAAACTGTCATTAACATAATCTTCCTCTGATGGATGAAAGAATATGAGTACATTTTAAATATTGAAATTAATTTAATGTAAACATACTTTTAAAAATGCTTATTGTGTATTTTATAAGTTTCTGTATGAAAGAATTCATAGCAGTACATACCTCACTGAAAGGTAGAGAAAAGAAATGTTTGTGTGCCTACCAGGTCCCAGCCAGGTCTGTTCAATCCACTTTCATTTCATCTTTGGTTCTTAGGTCATCGTTATGAAGAGGTCTTTGGGTGTTGGCTATGCTGCAGTGGACAATCCAATCTTCTACAAACCTAACACAGCCATGCTTCTGGGTGATGCCAAGAAGACCTGTGATGCACTGCAGGCAAAAGTTAGAGAATCCTACCAGAAGTAAATATTAAAGATCAAGCCATTGTCTGAGACAGCCACTCTTCTTTCTTGGGAACAGGCAAATAACATTTCAGTATACGTGGCTGCTACACATCTACAGCAAAGCTCTTGGAAGACAAGGAAGACTGAAAATAGCAAAGCAAATAAAGGGAGATTTTTCAAGAGCAATGATCCATCAATTTTAAAAAAGGATTGAAAATTTCTCAATGTCTGTGTATATATTTTTTTGTGCTATGAATCAAAAGTATTTTTTAAAAGGAGAAAGAGCAGCCTCAGTTTTAGATGTAATCTTGTAGGCTTTTTTTTTTTTTTTTATTCCTCCTCAATAACCAAAAATGTTTTTAAAAATTTAATGTTTAGGAATTCAGGACTAACATTACCCATTAAAAATCAGGCACAATGTAAACATTGCAGACACCTGTACTTGTGTTTTGTCAACAAAGTGATTAGTTTGAAACTTGTATCAACTTCTGAGCTATCCCCTCCCTTGCAATTTAACAGTAATCTAAATTGATCATGTCAAATTGGTTTTAATTTTTCAAACTGTTCTTGAGAAATTAGATTTCAGGGATCTATTTTCTCATTGCTGTTTTAATATATCAAAGGACTAGGTAATCTTTCTGAGATGCTGGAAAGAAATAATTTGCTTTATATGTTTCATTAGAACACCAGCAAAGCATATAATTTGAAATTAGCATTGTATTTTTTGAAAATTCCATTTCCAATCAGAGTTCTTCTTAGTTTCAATCATTTACAATATGTAGTACTGTATTAAGAGCACTTGAGTGGAATTCAACTATTTGACTAATAAAATGACTTTATCATGTTTGCAAGTGATATAGCAGTTGTCTCTGCTGATAAAACTCTGAAGTTGAACAGTCTGCCTGTTATTAAATTTAGGAGAGAGATCTGCTACTTTGAAATAGATGAAATTAATCTGTCTTAACTGTTTAAAAGAATGGAGTTGATTTCAAAATCAGTGTGTGTTTTTTAAATCTTACATACTTGATGACATTGGAGAGAAACAGTGGCTCTGTTTTTAGCTACCTCTTTGTTTATTCAAATATCAGTAAAGATCACATCTTTTTGTAGTAGAAGTCTAGATTTTCTTTGTGACTTTACTACTGTGCCAAAAGCTCTAAATATAGGTGAATATGTGATGATTACTTAGAATGTACTTTCTACATAATTAATTTGGTACTGAATATATAAAAATTACTAACTTATAAAAAAACTATCTCTGATATAGAAAAAATAACTGGTATAACTTTTTAATTTAAAGGCTTTTTTTTAAGGACCCTGAACCTGCCATAATGTTGATGCCCAGGAAGAACTGGATTGCCATTTATGGACAACTTTTTTTTTTTTTTTTTGGCTATAGGGCACATGAGCTCGCCAGAAAGACAGAGAGACAGAGAGACAGAAAGCGAGAAATCACCCCCCAGGGGGATGGCCACACCACAATCCTTCTCCTCCATTCTCTTCCTGGGATCTTGGGCATGCACGCATACATGCCCGGCTTGAGTTTAAGCGACTGGGTCCAGGACTCAAACCGTGGTCGACTACATGGGAGTCCAGTGACATTGCCATTATGCCAACTGCTAGTCCTGTGTCATGACTTTTCCAACAACTCAATATATATCTGGAAAGTAGCAGCTTGAATTTTTTTTTAATTTTTAAAATTTTTAAAAAATTTTTGCCAGAGAGTATGTGTGGGTGCCTGAGAAAGAGAGAGAAAGTGAGAAAACATTCTCCCCCTCCCCCCCCACTACCCCCCAATGGAATGGTTATGCTTCAATCCCTTCATCTCCATTTCTCCTTCCTTTCAGGATTTTGGGCATGTGCACATACTTACCTGGTATGTCTTTTAAGCTGCTGGTTCCAGGATTCAAACCCTGCAGTTGCCCATGTGTGATCCAGCCACCTTAACCATCATATGACCAGCTGGCCCTGGATTTTTTTTAAAAGAAAATTGTTGCAATGAATTTTAATTAAAAAATACTTGGATTTATTAATTTATTATTGTTATTTATAGTAATATTTTTCTCTATATATATTTTAATTTTTAAGATTTTTCCTATAAGATGTGTGCACTTGCCAGAGAGATAGAGACAGAAAGACAGAAAGTAAGAAATCACCCCAGGGGATGGCCATGCTGCAATCGCTTCTCCTCCGTTCTCTTGGGATTTTGAGCTCACACACACTCAGCATGAGTTTTAAGCTGCTGGGTCTGGGACTCAACCTGTGATTGACTATGTGGGAGTCCAGTGATGTAACCATTATGCCATATGCTGGTTGCTCTCTTTATATATTTTAAAGCTTATTTATTTATTCTTCTTCTGCGAGAGAAACAGTACCCCAGCAAAGTCCCAGCACTACAGTCCATCCTTGTTTTAAGCAAACCCCGCTCATGGGCAAGCTCATGCCTGGTGCATTCAGGGAGGTCTTCAGACTTGAGCCAGGAACTTTCCCTATGGGTTTGCTTTGCAGTATCACATTTAACCACTGCACCACTGTCTGGTCCCCTCCCCTCACCGTATTTTTATTTAGTATGTTCTTATCTGTTACATACCAATTCTTCATCATCCAATTACGTCAATTGAATTGAAATTTTATGTCTCTGTTGGTTTTATTTCACCTTATTGGTTAAGATATTGAAAGATTAATGGATATGTAATTTCTAAATCCAAAAAGTTGATAGTCTTGGTGATAATCCATTATTGCAGTCTTAGCAACAGAAATGATTTTCATACATCCTATTTCATTATTCCTTTTTTTGGTGATAAATCAAAAAACTGGTGAATATGAATTATTCCATTTTTAAATTTTTCAGATCTTTATATGTTTTTGATACTCCAGTATATGCATAATTTTTTTATCTGTTTATAAGAACCCTATAATCTGTTACCAAAAAAAATAGTCTTTTAGGCTTTTTTAACCATCTTTTATTTTCTCTTGTTTGCCTTAAATTGGGAATTTGTTCACGTGTTACCTGTCTAATTAAAACATGTATAGAAGCAAATTATAAACTTTATGCATATATATGTATGTATATATATATATATACACACATGTATATATATATATATACATACATATATATATATGTATACACACTTATATGTATCTCTCTGTTTGGAAAGTCTTATTATTTTATATACTCTTTTCTAGGAATTAAAATAGAGAGGACTAATCTCTTTATGTAGGAAGTTTTCAGCCGCAAATCAGGGAATATTAGTATGTTAGTTAAGTGGTATTTAGTAACGAATCTAGAAACTGCATCTTGGCCTTTCTTATTCCACCCAGGTCATGACTCTATCTTTTAGATTTTACTGTATTCTCTCATCCAACACAAATATGGTAAATATTATGTATCAGTTAACTTTGGGGTTTTGGTTCATTTATCTGATCTCAAAGCTTTATTCTATATAATTAATAACTCATAACCCATATGTTCACCTAACTTAGAAGCAAATTTTCTAGTCCCCTAAGGCATAAGTTTTGTGAATAAAGCACTTAAGTGTTGGAAAGTTGGATAGCTCTTTTGTATAGCTAGGGATTCAAATATCTAATAAGTTGTCTCTAGTTTTTGAGAGCCTTTGCCAACAAATATTATTGGGTCAGAATGGTAAGAAAAACAAAACAAAAAAACAGAACTCTTCACTCCAGCAGCAGCAACTTGCACAATCCAGCTGGTCTTTATATTCTCAAAGGAAAGAAGAATTAGATTAGTTAACAAGGAGAGAAAAACGCTTTTCCAACTAAAACTTTAAAGTGTTTTAGTAAAGCAGCAGAAACGGTCATGTTAGAATTCCAGAGCACTCGGGGCCAGCAGGTGGCATAGTGATTAAGGCACTGGACTCTCACGTGACCCCACTGCAGTTCGAGCCCTGGGCCTGTGGCTTGAAAAGATGTTGGGTGTATGCATGTGCATGCCCATAATCCCAGGAGAAGAATGGAGGAGAAAGGATTTTGGCCTGGCCATCCTTTGGGGTGTGTGGGGGGTGATTTCTCACCTTTCCTCTCACTGTCTCTGTTTCTCTCCAGCAAGCACATCCATCCTATGGCAGACACCTTAACAAAACAAAACAAAACTAAACTGAAAAAGAACTCCAAAGCTCTCAAGAATTCCTGTTATTAAACTTTTATGTTTTAGAAGTTACATACTGGTCTAAAGAGCTAAATTTTATTCACTATTTAAGTGATTATAGACATTTAACATGATGCATACTGTCATTCTAAATGGAGTATCTTTTGGATGATGGTAGCATAGTGATGTAAAAGATGAGACATTAGGGACCAGCAGATGGCGTAATGGTTATGTCACTGGACTCCCATATAGTCGACCGTAGTTCAAGTCCTAGACCTAGGGGCTTAAAACTCACACCGAGTGTGTGCGTATGTGTGTCCAAAATCTCTAGAGGAGAATGAATGGAGGAGAAGCGATTACAGCATGATAATTCCCTTGGGTGATTTCTTGCTTTCTGTCTCTCTGGCGAGTGCACATGCCCTATAACAAAAGTCTCTCTCTCTCTAAAAAAGAGACGAGACATTAATTAGGGTGATTAGTATTTGAGACTCTTACCCATAGTGATTAAGATGGTGGTAGAAAAAAATAGATAATAGTAGATAATTCATTGGAGCATAGTGGGAAATCATATAGGATAGGCAGAGAAAGATCAGTTTATGGTTATGGAGAATGTTAGAAGTTGTGAGTATTAAGGAGATACAACGTGATCTCTGTCATGTTGATTGTCAGTGCATGTGACTGCCTTGTTTACGGAAAATCTTTGTGGTTTATGCCTTGCCACAGTTTACTACCTTGAACTCTGCTTTCTAGTTCTTGCCAAACGTTTGTTTGTGAAGAGTGGTACTCGTGGACAAATTACCTTAGAGAAGTAGAGTCAAGTTTTTCTCTAGATATTTCATGTTTTTCCACCTAGACCTTCTGAGAATCTGATACTGTTTGGGTCTTTGTGAGGAGTGAAGATGTTGGAATGGAGAGGACAGTGACCTCCTTTCCTAAGGTGACTAGGAATCCAGGAGGGGAGAAGCACATGGTAGCAATGGAATGGTGGGGAGTAGGGGTGATCGCCATGGACTGTGAGAAGACTTGAAAAGGGGCCGTGTATTTGGGGAATGCAGGTGACCAGTAGGATGGTGGTGGCTAGTTCCTTTCCCCCACAGTGGAGAGCAGTGGAAAGGGAAGTAAGAACTCAGAGCAGAGGTTGAGAATGCTCAAATATCCCCAGTGTAAAGATGAAAGAAAGACTAATAAACTCCTCATCCTCTTCCTGTCACATTAGAGAAATGAAGAACACACAGTAGAAATGTGATAGGAGGCAGGGACTAGTGAAAACCCTTAGAAACAGACCATTTAGAAATTGAATTCAGGTCATTTTTTCTATCCTAATTTTTTTTGGCTTACCACAGGACAAACAGAACTTGGAAACATCTACAGTGAGGTCTAGAGCTGATAGATTTAGCCAGTGAACTTTGTATCTGAACTGGTCCTTTTCTGGAACTGATTTTCCAAAAAGCCAGTGAGGTGTTATTGGCCAGCCTTCTCCTTTTATTTATTTATTTATTTTGTTTCTTCCAGTTAGGATGTGCACTTTTTACAAGAGTACTACGCTTACCATTAATATAGCAGGTCCTGTCCCAGGTCAGTTCTTTTTAGGTCTTACAATTCTAGTGCCCTGTGACACATGGAAACAGCAGTGGGTTAGAACTAAAAGACATGTTTAAGACTCTCCAAAGAAATGGGCGGATGTGGGTACTAAATAACCCCCTTGTGCTATTCAGATGGTATTTTCTTTCTCTAGAGGAATGAAACA